GATCTTTTTGAAGTTCTTCACAGTCTGCTTTGGTCTTAACTATCTTGAGCAGTTTAGTATAATCTGCAAACTTTGCCACCTCACTGTTTACCCCTTTCTTCAGATCATTTATGAAAAAGTTGAATAGGATTGGTCCTAGGACTGACCCTTGGGGGACACCACTTGTTACCCCTCTCCATTCTGAGAATTTACCATTTATTCCTACCCTTTGTTCCCTGTCTTTCAACCAGTTCACAATCCATGAAAGGACCTTCCCTTTTATCCCAGGACAACTTAATTTACATAAGAGCCTTTGGTGAGGGACCTTGTCAAAGGCTTCCTGGAAATCTAAGTACACTATGTCCACTGGATCCCCCTTGTCCACATGTTTGTTTGACCCCTTCAAAGAACTCTAATAGATTAGTAAGACACGATTTCCCTTTACAGAAACCATGTTGACTTTTGCCCAACAATTTATGTTCTTCTATGTGTCTGACCATTTTATTCTTTAATCTAATTTTATTCTAATTTAATCTAAGCCCCAATGCAGCAATGAGTTCCACACTGAAAACAGTGGGGCTCTGTGCAGATGTAGCTGTCCCCCCTGCACTTGACTCATTGTAGCATCAGGGCCTTATCCTGTAGATGTGAAGGCTAGTACACTAACCCACTGCATTGCTGATCCCCTTAAGGAATAGCAACGTTCACAGTATATATCAGTGTGAGTTTTAAAGAAGCAGCTCAGTATCATGTGATGTCTTGGTTATTAAGGTAATTGTGTGGTTTTTGTGCAAAGTAAACAGGAGCATGAAATATATGTATATTATTCACACACAGGAATTGCAATCAACCTATGCCCCGAAACTTCAGAAACCTGTTCAAATTAGTCATCATTAATTTCAGAAACTATCTTTTGCTTCTGTTAGTGCATCTGATGTATTAATAAACCTAGTTGGTCAAAAAACAAACAAAAAACCCTACCACTACCATATTCTATGGGGAAATGAACTGATCACTTCTGCAGGAAGGAAAAAAAGATACCAGTAGGAGGGTTGCAAAATGGAGTTGATTATGTGGGGAAACACTTTATCTGCTTGGGGGAAAAATCAAGACATGAAATGCAATTAGCATGTATGTACATAAACAGTGTACATACCATACAATAGTATGCATACCATACATATGTGTCTATATCGGTGCGGATCATTTTATATGGTAATGAGAAGAGTGCTATATTCTCAAAAAGCCCTTACATATTATTTATCCATCATGCCCTTCTGAAACTATTGCTCTGGAAGGTTTGCTCATCCTATTTAATGCATTCTCTCTTTTTAGGGTTTCTATGTAGGCTTGGATTTATTTTCTTACTTGGCCTCAGCTCCACTGAAAAATATATGTCAAAATTGCACAGGGTTTGGAGCAAGTCAGCAGGTGTTTTTGGAAAGAGGGTTGAAATAAAGCTTATCGGTGCATTGTCCCTTTCATTAAGAACTGTAGGATCACCTGCAGTGTGCGCCCTACAGTATCTAAATAATAAGCATTGTGCAACCGAGGTTTAGAATGCTGCAAATTTCTGAATTGTACCCACTCAATTAAGCACATAGCTTAGCTCTTGTGTACGGGTTATATTTTGACTGTTTTCCCCTCCTTTTAGCTGAAATGTCCCTATTGAACTGTGCCATATTTTGAGTATATTCTCAATATACTAATTTGCACTTTGAAAACATTTTACAAATCTTGTAAGAGCACTTTAAATTGTTTTATGACTGTGAAGCAAATCACATACAGAAAATATTCCATTCTCAGTCTATCTTCATGGGGACATGTGGAGTAAAGTGGACAAATTTAATGACACATTTTCATTATTTGCAGTCAGAGGGTAAATGTTACTTAATTTATTTTCAAAATCCATGGGCTGCTGTATTGTTTTTCATCTGTAGCATCCTCTGCTGGCATTGCATAAACTGCATATGTCACAGAATAAAACATCAGAAAGTGGATTGTTTTTTAAAATCCATGTTCTGCTGTCACATTCCCATACATGATGTATGCTGTGCGTCCGTCTAAAATGTGTACTACCATTCTGTGTATTTGAAAATATAAGCAAAACAAAGCAAACTGTTCAAACTTTGGTGATCTTTTGCCCACGTAATATTGTACAAAGATATAAATCTGCATGAATAGAATTTACTCAACTACTACAATGCAACTCACCATTAACTGCCTCTCCAAAGTTCTATGTGTTTCAGTAGTTTTCATGAGACACAGATCATTCATATGCCATCGTATGTCATGCTAAACATAATCCAGTTTCTAACTGCAGTCTTCTGCTCACAGGACTAGGAACCAATGCAAAGCAGTTTCTGAAACTGCCCCATATATGTGGAAGTACCGTAGGTTGCTGTTCTATCTAATGAGATAACATTTCGTTTCTCCTTCCACTTAACATATTTTATTTTATGTTGGTGTAGTGTACAAAGCCACTGTATCTAGGACAAATGTGCTACCTTTTAAGCATCACCATGCTACTCCTTAGCTGTGATCTCGAACCTACAGATTTAACTCTGATAAACAGTTCTTAGTGTTTCAATAGCCTTCTGCTTATATGTTTGAAGATTCGAAACTGAATGGTGAGGTGGCCAAGGCGGCGCTGGCAAATGAAGACTGTCCCCACATAGACCAGGCTATAACTCCTGATGAGGGCCTGCCCTTTACCCGCTCTGGCACTCGGGAGAGATATGGACCCTGCTTCCTCTTATCAACCGGGGAATATCCCTGCCCGCCTGATGGAGGAATAAGAAAGGGTATGTAGCTGAGGTCCTGTAACCACATAGTTAGTGACCTTGTTTAAAAAAAAGAGAGAAAAAGTCATCTACTAGTTATCATGGACTATTGGGCTTGGTTTAGATATGCACTAAAATAACAACCTGATGTCTGCATTTTGAGTTTTTCATCTATTTCTTTGGGAGACGAAAGCTGCTAGAGCTACCATGTGCAACTGCAGTTTAGTCTTCCATGTTAGCTAGCTCAGTGAGCTTCAGCGCCCAGTATTCTGCAATGTCCTTAAAAGATTTCATCCTCCAAAGACACATCGATTAATATTTATGACAGCAGTGAAGGCTGCCCATTTGGAAGACTCGTAGATTGCAATGTGCTGTGAATGGCAAACACTTGGTGGGCAAAAATAAATAAATGCCCCAGCAAATACCAAGAACCACAAAGTGATTATTCAGCTGCGTTTATACAGCACTTCAGTTAATTTCTTTGTCATGCCTAGCTGTATAATTGAACACAGAGAGAGCTTCATATGGGAGCATTTGTTAGCATAGACCTCTTTCAGGGCCATAGCAACAAAGAAAGTGGCCCCCTCCGAACGGTGGCCCCCTCCGAACG